CCGCTCGAGCCAGTTGGACGACAAACGCATTTTCCAGGTCGTTGTGGATGGAAACAAGATTCGCTTCGAGAATGTTGCAGACGCTCTGATGGAAAAAGAGTGGTATGTTGATTTCACTTATTCAAATTCACCAGACATTTGGCCACATAAATTGAGGTAGGACCAGTCAAAGCAACACCCAGATGGGTCACTCACTGGAATAGCAATGCATTGGTTGGGAACGACACGCCAAGTGTTGATTTCCATACCTCAGCATCTGCAAAGGTCCTCGGATCATCTTGGTAGATGTAACAGTTACAGTCCAACCGGGTCCACCCTTTGGGACAGTTATTATCTGCAACACAATTGTTGTTTGAGGAAGAAAACAATCTGCGTCAATCAAAACTGAGAAGTTCTTCATTTGGAAAAAATGTGAGTGAGGCCTACCAACCTTTGAAGTCAATCTTTTTAAAAGACCACTGTGAAGAAGAAAATGCACACACAAAAAAATCAGACTGTACGAGAGTGACACAAATGAAGACACTAATATCAGTGGTACGTTGATGAACTGATTAATCAACAACTCTGATTGGTTGTCAAATTAATCAAGAAATATTTTGATAAGACAGCACGGCAGTGGGTGGTTAGCTCGTCCGCCTCACAGTACAGAGTTTCAGGGTTCGAGTTCGGCCTCCGGCCTTCCTGTGTGGAGTTGGTATGCTCTCTCTGGGCCCGCGTGGGTTTTCCCAGGGTACTCCAATTTCCTCCCACATTCCAAAAAACATGCACGGCAGGTTAATGGAACACTCTAAATTGTCCCTGAGTGTGGGCGCAGATGGCTGTTGGTCTCTGTGTGCTCTGCGATTAGCTGGCAACCAGTTCAGGGTGTCCCCCGGATGAAAAAATGGATGGATGGATATTTTGACAATTAATTAACCATTTCAAGATTTCGTTTGATTTAAAATTGTCCAAATCCTCGCAGGTCCAGCGTCTCAGTATATTTTCTCAGATTTCTCCCTCAAAGCACCCTGATTATCTTTGTATTTTTGTTTTCAAAATGAGAAATTTGCAAACTATTTTTATTTTGGAAAACAACGATCAACATTTTTTCCATGGTAGGGGAATTGAACACTCTCGATTGTCCCTACGTGTGAATGTGAGTGTGAACGGTTTTTCCCTGCGATTAGCGGGCAACCAGTTCAGGATGACGCTTAATGTCCAAAGAAAGCTGTGATGGGCTCTGGCACCCCCGACTGAGAATAAACAGTAAAAAAAATGGATGGCTGGATCAATGGATGGATGAGCGATTTTTTTCCGACTGTCTGACGTTACAGTCCGAACCAGCAACAGGATCATAATTGTGTTTGATTATTTTAGGCTCTGTCAATTTGACATCATGTCCTGTTTTTAAATAAACGGATGTAACTCAAAGCAAGTTACAAAAAAATCCAACTTAACTCTTAATGGACAACATAATCGATAGATTCATCGATTATTAAAATTGTTAGTTGCAACCCTACAAAACATCAAACACCCGAGTAATTAATGTAATGTTAATTTCAGTCAGTGGGTGAGATTTTGACTTACAACTCCAGTCAACAGTCCACTGATCCCACAGACGAGGAACAACAAGCGAAGAGCAAATGCCATCTGTGCAACAAAAGAAAAATGCTTCATATTTCTGACAATAAATATTAATTAGTATTACATTTACAGTATATTTCACCTTATTAAAAAAAATGCAACACAAGCTGAAAGTCAGAAGAAATGGAAAATTGACAGTACCTTGCCAAAGATGAGGACTCCTGTCTTATATATGTTGTGCTGGCAGTCTTGTGGTTTGCTGTGAAATGTGTCGTATTTATACAACACATCAGATAGGGTCCCGCCCCCAACCTTCATCATTCTGAATTTACTGGGAAGTGATTCTCAAAAAGAACAGCTTTTCGAAGCTCGCTCTCTTTCAGCTCAAACTGGAAAAACTGGTAAGTTGGTGGGCTTGTAAGTGAGGTAGGAACCAATGGATATTTTTTTTATTAGTTTATTTTTGCACAAGTGAGTATAAATAAGTTTGATTTCTTGCCTGTCATTCTTCAGTGACTCGTTAAAGAAGGCCTTGTGTCTATATGCAATCAGGGGTGTGCTTTCCCCAAGCACGGCCTGGGTAACGTTGGAGAACTCCTTGGTCTGCAAAGGTTCGTTTCGTAGCCATTTCAGCAATGAAATGTTCTTGCTGCGTCTGAAACTAACAATGACAAATACTTCCTGGACTACTGAGCATGTGTAAACCAGTGTGGTGGTTGCTGTAGCCTTTTCCGAACAAAGGAGCAGAGGTCTCTGTGGCGTGCTGAGATTGGATTCGATTTTTGCGGCAGGCTTTTTTTCGTTGTAGTGAATCTCGGTGCGAGGCAAGAGCAGAGAAAAAGATTTCAGATCACAGAACAGGGGGATTTTTCGTCTTAGGGGGAGCAAAAAAGTGGAAATGGCTTTCATTCATGAACATTTTTTCACACTTGCGGGTATTTTCGCCCATGTAGGTTTCGTTGGTGAGGAGTTTCACTGTAACAATTTTACAGCAAATGCATCATATACTGGGTTGTTTTTTTTTAGGATTTGCTCTTCACGATAATACTACTGAGGAACTGTTTACTTGGTTTCTGCTAAATTGCAAGAAAAAATACTCAAACAGAATTGCTGAAGTGATCAAAAAAAATACTTCCACATAGATGGCGCCATAGTTGGCAGCCATCTGCAAGAGCTCTTCAAGAGCTTTTGTTTTTTGTTGTTTTGGTCTTTTGCTCTGTCATATGTGGACCACATTGTGGACATTTTTTTTTTTTTTTTTTTGCGTTTTGGCCACAGCATTCGTCGAAGGAGAAGTATCAGTGCTTGATGGTTGCGCCTTCTCGGCAGCACGCGTGTACGAGCACTGATTTTGATGGGGGGAATGTCGCGCACTGGGACGCTCGTGCTTTTTGCGCCTGTAATGGGCAGCACTTTTCACAGCTTCGTTTTGTTCAGCGCAGATGTCGGCGCTGTTGGACAGTCTGCCTTGGTGTGGCTGGATGGATAGCTGTTGGAGCTGAGGATGAGGAAAGAGGAACGTCGGCAGGCAGTGCGGATGCGTATTTGGAACTGAGAGTTAGTGCTTGGAATTGAAGCGGATTTACATGGGACAAGACAAATGAACAAATCTCTTTTTTTGTCATTGGACGCGAACGTAGCTTAGCTTAGCTTGTAGCAGACGTGTGAGATGTCATGCAAGCTTTGAGCATGATGTCTCTGATCCACTGGTAAAAACACTCTTTGATTTTCTCCTCTTTCTTCTATAACTGCTTCAAGCAATAAAGCGTATGAGGGAAAAGTGGTTACGAATGCATGACCGTCCATGTCTTTTGTTGTTTTGTGTTATGTTGTCGTATTTTATTTTACGTTTATTGTTCTTGTGAAGCGCTTTGTTTCAGCTGCAGCTGTTGTGAAAGCGCGAGATAATTTTTTTAAAAATTGTATTGTATTGTATGAATCCAAACATATTAATCACTTCCAGAAAATAAATCAATCAATCCGATAATATTTCTGAAGTTAGCAACTGTATGAAAGGCACATTTTGTTTGATTAAATACGCCTCGAGTGAGACTTTGAGTGATGCACCCATCCTGCATAACATGGCATTTAAAACTTCCCTGAAGAATTCACTGAAGGCCCTGAAAGACTCGTCTGGGTGAGGCACCAATTATTATCGTGAGGTGTAATGCTGAATTGAGAACAGTTGTGTCATAAGTGACATGGCATGCGTGAGTTCTTCGAAGCAAAACCTTGAATTAAGAATGGACAAATTAAATGAAAGAAGCGGCCACTATATTTCATCGGTGCTACTCAGGGCCACAGAGGACAACATACTTCCAAACCAGATGTAGAACAAAAATGCAATTTTATGCATGGACAAAATATGTGCATATGTCTTTTTATTAAACTAATGTGCATCACAGAATCATCATATATTTCATGCTCAATCTATAAAAGATCCCATCTATCAAAAATATAATAATATTAACCATATACTATAGATTTTTTTCCCAATGCAAAAGGCTCTCGTGCATAAATATTACCAGTCAAGGGCGGCACAAATTGGCTGAACAGCAAACCAACTTTAAGTGCAAGAGCTTATCTTGTGCATTTTATTGACAGAAATCAACTAACTCAAAATTATGAAGATTATTCAGGTACTATAGGGGTGTCCACACGGCAACATTTGGTCGAACACTGCACCGGCGCTGCACCGCTAGATTAGGTACACACATAAGAAAAAAAATCTGATGAAGCCATTAATCCTGGTGTGCCTCCTAAAGTACCCAAAAAGAACCTGAACTGGTGATGAAGCCAGTGATGGCAACACATGATGAGACGTTATTCTTGAAATGCTGGTCAAATGACCAAACAGGGTTATTTCGAGGTGAATTTTATTTCAACCATCATAAACCGTGTGTGTGTGTGTGTGTGTGTGTGTGTGTGTGTGTGTGTGTGTGTGTGTGTGTGTGTGTGTGTGTGCGCGCGTGTGCGTGTACATGTCATGTGTGCATGCATACTCACGTGTTTCAGAAAACTGTGCCTGTCCTTCGAAACCTCTGGGCCTAGTCCGGCCACTGAAGCTAAATATTGACGTAAATGCGTGGCGTTATCTTGAAAATGGCTTCCAACAAGATCTAGTCTTTGATGACACAGCTTGATTCAACTACTTGCAGCTTCTTTTCATCAAGCTCTTCGTGGTCCTCCAAGACTCGGTGGTGTCGTTCTGCCAGGCTGTACTGTGTGTGGAAACCGGCGGTGGCTTTAACGCTAGGCCAGCTTTTCTTGCGCTGCTGGTAGAGTCGCGCAAAAGAAGAGGTGCCCTCTGGACGTCGCCTCGAATCGAGCTGATCTCCAAAGAGCCGCGGGCCGCCCGGTGAGCGCCTTTGATGGAGTTGAGCGAGGCCTGAGAGCCACAGTGGTGCTCATGAACGCAGCGTGACCCTGAAGAAGATGACCTTCTCAAGGCTTGTATCAACTGATGCTCTTCTGAAAGATCTCCCTGGTCCCCCGACAGCTTCTGTTCAAAAAAAAAAAAAAACACCACTCAGAAGTTAACATTGTTTTAATTAAATGTTTTAATGTAAAAATAATGTATAACGGTGTCTTGTGAGGATGCTTTGAATACACTTTTTGATGTCCAAGTCTTTGGTTTGATCTGCTGATATTGAATCCCAATCTGGTACATTGGCAATACAAAAACCCCCCCAAAAAAAGGAGCATCCATACAAATGCTCTCATATTAATATAGAAATGTAAATACAGGCATGTACATAAGGCACGTAGATTTGTGTATTTGTTATGATTTACGATATATTTATATTGATATGCACCAATCCACCAAAGCATAGCCAAATTCTCAAAATAAACTAAATTAAATGTTCGTTTTCTTTTTTGAAGCTCTAAATCTCATGATACACATTGAACAATTCAAAAAATTTAGAACAGTAACCTTTTCTCTGAGGGTCAAGAGTTCATAGTGCGGAGGCTCAAACGACGAGTGGTAGTCCCCTCGCTGGAACAAGTTATTCTTGCGTACCAACACCTAAAATGTGAAACACACAATCGGTATTTGAACATGAGGAGAACCTTTCGAAAGATAAGACAGTCTTGATTTGAAGATGAGCTCATGTGATCACCTTCTTGCGCAGCTGCTTGATCTGCACCAAGATGGAGACGACAAGGAGCAGCATGACAACGCCCGTGGAAACGCAGATCACCGTGCCGTGAGTTCTCGTCATGTGCTGGAAGATTCCTTTCTGTTTCTTCTCTGTGCGACAAAAAACACGGGATGCTCCTTCACGCTCAACGGACTTTTCATTCAGTATATCAGCACAACGGCCGAACATACATTGGATTGAAAGTACAGTTGTGGGAAAAAAATATCTGCCCTCTTCACAAATTTAAAGGCTATTATCCACAAAATGAAGCCGTGGTTAACCCATAAAAATGGTCCGAAGACCACAGCGATGGGACATCAAGGAAGTGCACTGCAGGACTTCCTTGTCTTAGTGAAGGTCAGTGTTCATGACTCATCAATGAGCAAGAGACTGGGTGAGAAATTACTGTAGCCAAAATGTAAAAAAAAAGGGGAGGCGGGGTGGCTGAGGGGAGACACTCACTGGTTCAGAAAAGAACAAAATACACATTTCACAAAACTGAAAAGAAACCAAAATTGAAAAAAACAGTCTAATTAGTGAAATCCAAAACTGAAAAATATATCCCGGTAATTATTCCAAAATACAAAGAAACAATCAGTTTAAAAAGAATAGAATACAACAGAAAAAGACGATGACCAAATATGACTTCATGACGGCCAATTGACTTCCTGTATGCATCCTTCCATTACAGTAAATATTCTCTAGTGCGGACTCGTGTTTGCGCTGTCCAATTTGTCCTGATAACAGAAATTCCTCATTTGGGAAATGAGCATGGTACATGTCCTTTATGAACCTGCAAGTATGTTGACAAAAATGCACGTGTAAAAACACAATCAATAAAATACAAAAATATACTGTCCAAAAACTTTATATAACAAAAACTACAATACAGGTGTATCCAAAAAAAAATCACAACAGTAAAATATGGACAGTATTTTAATGTTTATTTTTTTCTGTCTTGGGGAAAAAAATGTGTCTATTTTGGATTGTTTGGTTGGATGCATTCTTTGGTTTATGACAATGTTTGCCTGCGTGTCATACAGTTTTCTTGATAGTTGCAAGTAACTGTCCCGTTGATCACCGATGTCTGGTAATTCTT